TTTGGTCATTAATATAATAATAATAATAATAATAATAATAATAATAATAATAATAATAATAATAATAATAATAATAATAATAATAATAATAATAATAATCTAAACAATAATAATAATAATAATAACAATAATAATAATAATATTATTATTATTATTATTATTATTATTTTGGACATTTTGTACTTTATATTACTTATTCTTGTTTTGTTCCTAGATCAGCGAATAAGCTTGATCATGCGTTAGCTCGAGCGGTTAATTTTCAGTCTGGTCCTCGTTGTTGGTTTTCTTATTATCCTTCATTCAACATTTGATTAATAATTAATTGAACACTAATATATACTTTATACATATGCACGTATTTATAGTAGTGGTTCGAGTTTAGGTTCTTAATTAACCTTTTCCAAATTAGAGTGAACCTGTTTAGGTTCTTAATTAATATAAGTAATTTTTGGTGGTACTGCTCAAGTAAGGAATAATGGAAGGGGATATCTATACAATCTAGGCCTACACTGAGGTTCAAAACCTAGACCTCCCACATAAAGGAGCAACCAGATACTAGTGGACCACAAGCCATTTACTCATTGAGGTCACTAATTATGACTATGAAACCTAAAATGGTTCGACAATTGGTTCATGGAATAAATTTTAGAGAAATACAAATCTCATTTCGAAAGAAATCAAATATATATTAGTCATTATATAAGAGTAAATAACTTCTAAAAAGTGTGAATTAATCTTATACATCCATCTAATTAAATTAACGGCTAGAAAATAAGAAGAAAAAAAATGCGGTGGTATTTCTGTAATTATTATGGTGCATTAGGAAACGCTTGATAATGAAACCTCATATAATTAATAGTGCACACACTTGATGAGTGTGCTATCATAGATCCTAAGTGCATTGTCAATTATCTGCGGTGTATTATCAAACAATTTTAAATGCACCATAATAATTACAAGAATGTAATTTGTTTTCTCTAATCTTAATTTTCAGCCCTTAATATAATATCCTTGATAAACATATGAGATTAATGAGAAGTACAAGTGTGAAACTAGGAAATTATATGAAACGTTTATATATTTTGTAATTGTTTTAGGTATACGTATACCTTTAACCCCCAACAACTTATAAGTTACAATTGTAAATAGCATGCCACTGTGGTGGTGGTGGTTGTGGTAGTGGGGTGTGGTGGTAATAGTAATAATTATCTAAAAACTAGCTTGAATAGATATAAGAGATCAGAGAAAGATGGGAAAATAAATAATCCAAAAATTATCTTCATATTAAAAATTTAAGAAAACATTTTCTGTCAAATTCGACAATTTTTTTTGTTAACCAGAATGAATACTTTTTGTGACTTTATTTTCTTTGAATAACCAAACACAGAGAAATCTGAAAAAAGTTTCGAAATGGACCCTGCAAATCTGCAATATGATAAAAAGAATAACAAAAATGAAGTCAAGCCGTATTCACCCCAGCTTCATCATACAAGCCGTATTCATGTCGTGAAGGCGTCGAATACCCAGCCCTCCATTCGTTTTACTTGTTGTGACAAGGTCCCAATTGGCAAGGTGCATCTTATTTCCCTCCGTAGGCCCTCTGTTACCCCAGATGAACTGTCTGGTTCTTTTCTCAATTTCAGCACAAACGCCTTTTGGGAGCGCCGTGGTCTGCATGGTGTAGACGGGGATGGCATTGAGCACAAATTTGGCAAGCACCACGCGCCCCGCTAAAGACAGGGTCTTCGGAAGTCAATATAATTTGGTGGTAAGTTATATCTCTTTTCAAATAGTAAATTGTAGATTTGAATATCATCACCATGTTCTCGCCAAATCCTTTTTTTTTTTTAATAAAATTAATAAAATTTTATATTTGTTTGGAATGTACCAAAGAAAGGAAGAGTAACAAAAGTATCATATATTATAATCCAACATATCATTCACATTCATTATTATTGATTTTAAACAATAAATTTGTTCAATTAACTATGTTAAGATATAGTTATACATTATTTTTGCCAATTTAATTTATTACTTTTTCATAACTTGGTCCTGGTTTGTGGTAGAGTAGTGGTGTTGGATCTTCCTCAATAAATAATTAGAAAGTCAGCGTTTTGAGAATATTAAAGAAATATATATTAATTTGGTGGTCCTAATCTTGCATTATTCTCAACTACCATTCACTTTGTTAGGCTTGGTGATATTGCACGATGAAATTAAGGCTATTACTTATTTTATTGATGACGGACTATTTGACTATGCGTTAAAATATTATTAGAATTGGCTGTCCAATTGATTTATTAATCACAATATTTTAAATTTTAACTTTTCGATGTACTTATTTATTGACTTTCTCAGTTTGAATCGATCAGTTATGACCAACCTAAATTAATTTATTCATATTGCATATTCGAGTAACAGTGGTAAACTTTTTTGTAAATCAAAGAATTTGTATCATAATTATCAACTTACCTAAAAGACCGTGGTCCATATAATTGTGTGGATCAAGGTTCAAAAACACATAAAGTATATTATTCTAACTCATAAAATATATTATTTTAACACATAAAGTACATTATTCTAACTCATAAAGTACATTACCTTACCCTATAAATTTCATTCTCACACATAAAATACATTATTTTAACTCATAAAATACATTATTTTACTTTAAAAAATTCATTGTTTTAACGCATAAGCGTGAGAAGCACGACTTTTTTTAATGTCAAAATAATGTCATTTTGAACCGTTGTGAGTAATTTCTGTCATTTTTTTACTTTTAATTTTTATTATTGTAAACGATCCAGTTGACTTTGATTCTAGAATATTAATGTGGTAAGCCCAAAACCTCAATATTGGACATACTACAAATCAGTTTGGAGCCTTTTATAGGCCAAAAACCAAAAAATACTTGCAAGCTAAGGCATTACAACAGCCCAATCATAGGCAAATAAATTCTTGATTGGATGCGATTAAAATGGGAAATTATCCTGTGAACTCGAGTCCAAAAGATACACAATTTACATATTAAATGTTCATAATTTATTTTTTAAAAATTCACAATTTGTGATGACTTTATATTGTATTTACATATTTTCAAAACTTAAAAACACAATTTATATTCTAGATAGATGTTCACAACTTTAATACTAAAAATACACAATTTAGGACAAGGGTTCACCTTGCAAGGTGAATCCTAATCACAGTATAACAACTGGATTAAAATGATTAGAATAAGGAATAAGGTTCAAATTGGCCACTGAACGTAACCTGAAAATGTAATTAGGTCACTGAACGAAAAAAAAAAACGTGCAATTAGGTCACTGAACACTCTAAATGTATGCAATTTCACCTGATAGCAGGTTACCTGCTTACGTGGCAGCTGAGTTGAGATTTTTAATAATTTTTAATAATAATTTTTTAAAAAAATAAAGAAAAACGATGGTGGGCCACCCCGTCGTTTATTATTGTTATTATTATTATTATTATTATTATTATTATTATTATTATTATTATTATTATTTTTCAATTTATTATTAAAATTTATTAAAAATTATTAAAAATGCCAACTTAGCTGCCACGTAAGCAGGTAACCTGCTAAAATTGATGGAAACCTGCTATTCGGTGAAATTGCATACATTTGGAGTGTTCAATGGCCGAATTGCACATTTTTGAAGTGTTCGGTGGCCTAATTGCACTTTTTTTTTTTCGTTCAGTGGCCTAATTGCATTTTCAGGTTACGTTCAGTGGCCTATTTGAACCTTATTCCTTAGAATAATGACGTGGAGTTACAAGATTCGACAAGTTTGTGAGGAAGTGAATTTTTGTAGAGTCACACTCAGCTCGTGTGGAGTCGGGTTGTATTTTTAATTCAAATTGGTATTAATTAAATTTTTATAATAAGTATTACAATCTCTTTTATAAATAACATTTCACATATAAATATTATAATATTTATATTAGAATTGCACTTTATACGGATCACAATTTTAATTATAAGTATTACATACAATATTTATCATTAGTAACAATCATTTTACTCTAAATATTATCACGATTCCACATACAAATATTACAATATTTATTATAAGTAACAATTGAGTTATTTTAAATTGATATTAAAATTTTTGTAATAAGTATTATAGTTTATATAATAAGTAACAATTCACCTACAACCTGACCTGTCTCACGTATCACACAAGTTTTTATTTTTCTTTTCTTTTCTTTTCTTTTTTCATTCTTGTATTGTTTGTTCTACCACCGAATAATGCTCGAATGGCATTTGTACCTTTGCTTATGGCTAATAATGTAGGCGTGACATGAACCTATGTATTGTAGAATTGAAGTTTAGTTGTTCAATCTTTCACATAAGGAAAAATAATAATAATAATAATAATAATAATAATAATAATAATAATAATAATAATAATAATAATAATAATAATTTATTTTTATTATTATTATTATTATTATTATTATTATTATTATTATTATTATAGTTGAGTTGGATAAAAAGAAGCCGAGACCCTCAGTAATCGCGAAGGGTTAAGTTTGATAAAAATGTTTAAGTCTTGTTAATCATCTTGATGTTGAAACTGATGCCCAACGAGTTTATTTCACTTTAAAATTAAAACTTAATCTTTTCATTCTTCTTTAAGTTTGATTATTGATTGATGATGTAGTCCAGGAAAAAGTTAGTACTTTTACTGATATCTATTTCCAGTTTGTTAAACGGTATGTGAATCGTGTTGTCCGTATTATTGCTAAAGGAGTTGTTTCTGAGTAAGGTTGTGGTGAGTGACTACATGCATCAGTCTTTCTTCATTGTGAATATTTTGACGGATGATTTTATCCTTTCAAAATAATATTCCGCAATAGGAATTATAGTGGCTTTCACGTGATCGTTAACCTAGCTCATGTTTTGTTTATTAACAATAATTATAACACGAGGGAAAATACATTATTTATAAGAACAATTAATTAGAAAAAAAATACATTAATTTCCAAGCAAATCACAGTAATTAAAAATTAAATGGAAATAAATTCGCATGATTGTATATATGATTTGGTCGCAACTGGGGGAACAAGATGCTGATGTGTATATATTGGATCAATCTCTGTCGGAGAAGAAACGGTTGATCGCCGGCATGACTTCCGGCGGGCGAGTACGGAGGAATTGACGGAACCCATGCTCCGCATACTTTTCCCCCTCCTCCCGGTTCTCCAGCACCGCCGTGGCACGGTGAGCTTTATTCACCCTGCAAATTCACCCAATATATTACTTCAATTCCAGATTGCTTGGCTAGATAGAGTCAAATCACCCAATTACAAATAGTATAATAATCATTGTATCACGAAGAAATATATATAATATAATATAATAATACCTGACATCAGGATTCATAAACAAGTTTCTGGTTAGCTGGAAAGTACACAGACCAACCACGAATGCCATCGGAGCCAGAAGAGGATATATCTGCACACAAATTTCATTTCCATATCATATCAACACTCATATTATTATCCATCCCAAAACAAGAAAACCACAATATGATCAGACTTTTGACGTAATAATCATAAAGTTACAAGTTCTACCCCGTAAGAGTGGCCGCCTATAAGCTTTCTTGATTTGAGTAGATCAGCTATAGACAACCTAGGTTAGTTTCAAGACAAGTTTAACTAGTGCACATTCTAGATTACTGATTAGGTTTCCTTAGTCTCTACAAAAATACAAGAAAACCCAAAAACATACTAGACCTAGCCAAAGTTTAATTTCACTCTAATTAGTGAAAGTGGCCTATTGACTTTTTCGATTTTAATAAGTTAGCTATGAACAACCTATGCTGGTTAACTTCTTTATGATCATTTGTCGACTAGGGTTACAAGAGGGTAGCAAAGGCAAGCTTCTTAGTAAATTAAAAACTAGACCTAGCCGGGTCTCAAAACTATACAATGACTATAGTTATGGTTCAAGTTTTTATTTGGGCAAACCGTGAATAGCTAGCTACGGTTCATGAACCGCCTAAAAACCACTACATACATCTTATTCATGCTAACCCGGCCTAAAATGTAAACCTAACATAACCAATATTCCGAAACTAGGTTTAGAACCCATCCCAGGACACAAATGTTTTTGTACAATTGTGGACAATGAAAGGAATAAAACTAACCTCGGGCTTCATCCAACGTCCCATGATAATGATGCAACGTAACGTTTGATTGTTTTGCTTTGAAACTATGAACAAGCTAGCTAGGTTTCTCCAACGCAACTTTATGTTGCTGTATATGCACATACATATACATATATATAATTATTGTGGGGGCAAGTCTTTGCGTGTTTGGAATCATATTGTGTGTATAAAGAAATTAAATTAGAAAAGTAAAAAAATGGAAGTTTGAAAGTTGGAATTTGGGCTATCCTAGTTGACATGCAAGATAAGGCATGATGGGGTTAACTAACATTTCTGTGGGCTGCATGAATATATATAAATTCTTTTGCATCCAGGAGGGGTAAAACCAGGTGCCAGCCCCTTGGTTGGGGGTGACAATCCAATTTAGGTGACTTGGTCAACAAGGTTTTTCTCGTCGTATTTTGTTGACGACAACCTAGTTGAGAATAAACAATAATGCATTCTACTCTTCAATTTATTAATATGGTATTGATACAACATTAAAGTTATTATGCATGCTAAGTATAATCTGGAGAGTGTTATTTGTATAAATTAAATTTATAGGAATTCTTAATGTGTATTTGATCAATTGATTGTACCAAATACTAAGGACATGAGTTGATAGGACTTGACATTATCCAAAAAACATATATATTTGCATTTCATACAAAATGTCGATCAATATTGTAAAATTCTCTGGAATTTATTTAGATATATAACAAACTCTAGAGTAATAAGTCTTTTGGATAAACTAATGGTCTTCTAGAGATATAGATCGACATCACCAATCACCCTTGGTCAGAAATTTCAAATTTGTTCAAAAAAAATCATGATTTTTTTTTTTTTTTTTTTTTTTTTGTGATGAGAGAAATTCGCAATCACAATCTGAAAGTGTGCATGCAATAAACTGCTACTATACACTAGGACATACAACACTAGGAAGACCCGGTGCAACAAACTCAATTGAAGATGTTGACAATAATGGAAGACGTTGCAGATATAAAAATTATGCTCCACTCACGTGACCACCTCTTTTGTAGCTATATTAGCCATTATTTGAAAGTTTTCTAGTGGCAGTTTCTTAGTTGGACTTAAAATTTGGACTTTTGGTGGCAACATCAATAGTTATGCTGTGCAACCGAATGCACCATGCGCATGGTGCATACGATGCAAAACGATGTCGTTTTGACTAAAAACGCGCGTCCCACTTTAAAAAAAAAAAAAATTCAGGTTCGATTCTCGGCAATAACATTATTGTGGATATATAGTTATGAATTTCTGGATATATAGTTATGAATTTATGGATATTTAGTTCATTTATTGTGGATATTTACTTCATTCATTGTAGATATTTACTTCATTCATTCTCTGTGGATATATAGTTATGAATTTATGGATATATAGCTATGAATTTCTGGATATATAGTTATGAATTTATGGATATTTAGTTCAATCATTGTGGATATTTAGTTCATTCATTTTGAATTTTTACTTCATTCATTCACTGTGGATATATAGTTATGAATTTGTGGATATATAAAAATGCTATTGCCGGGAATCAAACCTGATTTCTTTTTTAAGTGGGACGCGCATTTTTTAACCAAAAAGACGTCGTTTTGCATCGTATGCACCATGCTCATGGTTCATTCGGTTGCACAGCATAATTTGCGTGGCAACATTGTATGGATCATATTACGGTGTGACCCAGCCCAGCAAGAGCCTAGCCCAACATGTTTTGGATTCAACTTTGAAAGCCCAAACATCATGGCCCATAAAGTGTTCTATCAATAATTTCCTAAAGAGAAAAATATGCATTTGGAAACAACGTAACTTATACAATGTTGACAAAAATGTAATAAAAAACTGTCACAACGACCATAATACTAAAAAAATGATGATATTTCAGAGATTTGGAAATTCTCCCCCGCCCAACAAATCACTTCCTTGGTCAGATGTTGCCGGTTAGGTTGTCTCCTATCAGAAGTGGACTTCCTACTTGCTTTGTCCCCATTCTCTCACTACCAAACTTCTTAACTTCCCTTCCTTTACTTCTTCCCAACTCATCTTCTGCACACAAACACGTGTACTGTAAATTCTTCTTTGAGACACCCATGCCCATCCTATGATTATTGGATGATCTATGATCTATCCTACCAATAAGAATTGTCTCGAAATCGAATCTCAATCCCGTGTATTATTTACTAATCAATTCAATTCTGTATCTTTCAAATGTAATAAATAATAACTAGAGTGCTATGAATTGAGTCTTTTGAGATGAGTCAAGTCATTCTAATATTTAGAATGATTACAGTTAGATTATTCGGATCTTTCAAAATGAATTAGGTCCTCCAGGTATTCCAAGACGAGCTTGGGGAGACATCATATGGCCGACTTGCTTGGAAAATCAAATGCTCGTAGGCTGACCGATCACCTAGGTTGAACTGTACTCAATCACTTTGAGATGCTAACTAGTCTGATTTATCTCCTTAATTGTGATTTTTTGTCGACTAGGACTTACTCAATGCACACCTTCAAATAATGACTACAAGTTTCTTTCGTCACTAAAAAAATATAGATATTAGCAAGTGACAACCACAAAACAACGAGCATTTAGTTTGAATTTTGAAATGAATCTTTAGTACATTTAAAATGAAACTAAAGTAACAATCATAACATCATAATATGCACTTATATATAGTACGTAATAGTAATATATTACATTCTCTTACATACTCTACAAATTTCATCTCTAATATGACATGTTATTAATTCGTGATGAAGTTAACTAGTTCACGAGTAGCTAATAAAAATAAAAATTATGTCCCATCATACATCATACATATGATAAAAACAACATTTTTGATATGATAATTCTTGATGTGATGAAACACCGTACCCCACTATTACTAAACTAGAAAGTAAACGTAGTCTGTTTCTTGCTAATGATGGCAGAAATCCTTTTCTTAAATCAGTTAAATAACTTATAAATTTAAACAAATTGTGATTGCAGTTGACAGCCATGACCGTTGGAACGTTACACTCAAATATTTGTCCCATGAATTTTTCCTCAACAACTCCTTGCTTCAAGACACAGACATCTGATCAGATAGAAATATATAAAGAGAGGCCATGTCAAAGAGAATGAACGTACCCATCCAACTCTCTTTCTATCTGTCTTTCTCCTCTTGCACCCAACAACTAGTTGGTGAGAGAGCTTCATCTTGGCAACGATGAGAAATGTCGTTGTGATTTGTGTCGTCTTTGCTGCGTTTTTCTCCTACACGGGTGAGTTTTTGTCTGAGAAAGTGCGGTCTTTGGTTCCGGGTATGTGTGTGTTTGTGTGTGCGTGCGTGTGTGTTTAATGATTTGATTGTGTTGTTGCAGCTGCCTATGATCCCTTGGATCCCACGGGGAACATCACCATTAAATGGGATGTCATGTCTTGGACGCCCGATGGCTATGTAGTAAGTAGACTACCTGTTTTCTGTTCTCCGGTTTTCTGTTTCTCCATAACAGGCGTTGTTTTCTGTTCTCCGATTCTCTATATCTCGTGTTACTGAAGGCGATCTTAATGTTATTGTTGTAGGCGGTGGTGACGATGAACAATTTCCAAATGTTTAGGCACATCTTGAGCCCTGGGTGGACTTTGGGGTGGACATGGGCTAAGAAAGAGGTGATTTGGACAATGGTTGGAGCACAAACCACAGACCAAGGAGATTGTTCCAAGTTCAAAGGCAGTGTTCCACACTGCTGCAAAAAGAACCCAACTGTGGTGGATTTGTTGCCTGGTGTGCCTTACAACCAGCAATTCTCAAACTGCTGCAAAGGTGGGGTGTTGGCTTCTTGGGGCCAGGACCCTCAGGCTTCCGTGTCAGCGTTCCAGGTCAGCGTCGGCCAGGCTGGCACGTCCAACAAGACTGTCAAACTCCCCAAGAACTTCACCTTGCTTGGCCCTGGACCTGGCTACACTTGTGGCCCTGCAAAGATTGTGCCTTCAACTAAATTCTTCACCCCTGATCTTCGTCGAAAAACACAGGCCCTTAGTAAGTCTTTTCTGCCCGGTTAGGTCAATAGTGAGACTACACGTTTATATGCTCGATGGTTTGATATGTTCTTGAAAGTTGTCAATCTAATACCTGGTTTTTCTCTGCAGTGACATGGAATGTGACATGCACATTTTCTCAGTTTCTAGCCAGAAAACATCCTAGTTGCTGTGTTTCCCTCTCCACTTTCTACAATGAAACCATCACTTCTTGTCCTCATTGTGCTTGTGGCTGTGAGAACAAAAACAAATGCATCAAGTAAGGCACACAGCTGAGCTACACACAATTTTCACAGCTCGAAATCTCATTAATTTCGACCACCCAAAAGTGGTCAAAACAAAACCAAAAAAAAAAGACATTTAGATGTGAAATACTCTAATTTAACTTCTTGTGAATGATTGATTACAGGAGTGATTCAAAACTCCTCAGTGTGGTTGGCATAAACACTCCAAGAAAAGACAATGCACCATTGTTGCAGTGCACACAACACATGTGCCCCATCAGAGTTCACTGGCATGTGAAGGTTAACTACCAAGAATACTGGAGAGTCAAGATTGCCATCACAAACTTCAACTACAGAATGAACTATTCTCTCTGGACTCTTGTTGTTCAACACCCTAATCTCAACAATGTCACTCAAGTTTTCAGCTTCGATTACAAACCGGTCGTTCCCTACGGTTCCATCAGTAAGCACTTTCCGTTTCAACTAAAAATCTAAACTAAAAGCACTTTACCCCTTAATTGTGCCTGCCTGGCATGAACGGGGATTAGTCTGAGTATAGTACAGGCTTAAAGGTGCCTCCTACAGCAGTTAGGGCCTGCTCAGGACACCTGACCTAAAAAATAGTGAGATTGACAGAGTGAAAGTCAGTTTACAAGGGAAAAAACATTAATCTTTTGTGATTGATGTTGCAGATGACACAGGAATGTTCTATGGGATGAAGTTCTACAATGACTTACTAATGGAAGCAGGGCGATTTGGGAATGTGCAGTCTGAGGTTCTGATGCAGAAGGATAAAGACAGTTTCAGCTTCAAGCAAGGATGGGGTTTTCCCAGGAAGGTCTACTTCAATGGTGATGAATGCTTGATGCCACCACCCGATACATATCCATATCTGCCAAACTCTGCACACAAAAACTTAGCCCTCTTCTCAACACTGATCTGTTCAATTCTTTTGCACCTCAGTGCATTGTTTTGATCATGTTTTGCCCCTCTGTAACTAGAAATTTTTGAAGTTTATGATCAACAACAACCTAGATGCACTAAGCTGGGTGTGGTATACCTGCAACTTTGATGTAACATGAACACATTGCAAATCTGTAATATAATCACCTCCATGTGCAAATGGGAATGCTGTTATTCTGAGTAATAATTTGAAGTTTGAACACCACAGAAATGGCACAAATGTTTCAACTTTTTATTGGAATGTCAGACACTAGTTTTCATTAAAGAATTACAGTTGTAGGGTTGATCAAGAATAGCAAAAGGTGTAATTTTTATTATATTGCATGTCCAAGAATATGCTTCCAGGGAACCAAAACCAAGAAGAAATTAAATCACATCACAGACTGCAAAGAGCAAAGAAAGACAGAAACAAGAAAGAAAGATAAAAGGGAGAAAGATGGAGAACAAGAAGAGAAAGAAGAAGGAAGCGGTGCTGGGCTGAGTGAATCTGTCACGGTAGCTATAGGTGCGAGATTTGGAGCAGACCGAGTACCTGGATCAGGACCAGGAGCTAAGGCGATACTCCCCGAACTATCTTTGTAACCTAGGAATGCTGAATACATGCAGGTCACGTTCCAAGTCACTGCCATGGAAACATCAAATTAGCTTGCAACAAAGAATAATTACAAGTTCAATCAATCAATCTACTGGAATCAAACTACTTACTCATTGCACGATACAATCTTCTCAGATCTGGAGTAACCAACTTTGTTTGTCTAACAATTTTGGCTGGTCCACAGGTATAACCACCAGGTCCTGGCGCAAAAAATGTGTAGTTCTTAGGCATCCTCACGGTTCTGTTAGTGGTCCCGGCTGCCCCAACGGTGATTTGGAATGAGCTTACAGCATTGGCAGCATCTTCCCCCCATGCACTAAGCACTCCACCCTTACAGCAATCTGCAATCTGCTGATTGTAAGGAGCACTAGGGGATAAGTCAACGAATCTTGGGTGCTTTGTGCATGATTGTGGAGGATTGGAGCTATTGAACCTAAAACATTCTTCAGACACCATGGTTTCACCGCCCACCATGCTCCATATCACCTCTTTCTTCGACCATGTCCATCCCAGATTCCAACCCGGCGCTTCAATTCGCCTGTGTTGCTGAAAGTTGTAAATCGTCACAACAGCCTGCAAATACCAGTGTGAAAATGATCAATTAGTTAGAAACTTCCATGTGTGTATTTATCACAGATTTCAGATCAATGTAGGACAGCTGAAGCTTGCCGGGGCTTACAACATAACCATCAGGAGTCGAGCTGAGAACATCTGTTTTTATTGTGATGTTTCCGTAGGGGTCAGATGGATCATAAGCATCTGCAGAAGAAGGGTGTTAAGGAATGGATTCAAATTTGCAAAATCTCAAACACTTTGATCAAACATTACAATTAGTATATCAAAATCTTTCAAATTTCAGCCAACCTTTAATCAATAATGAATACAAGAACAATGACAGAGAGATATGGGCATACCTGTTGAAGTGAAACTGAAGCAAGAAAGCAAGAATGCCACTAGCACAACACAATATGTCATTTTGGCCAGAAATCTTGAGCAAACCACAAATCTCTTGGCTTCCCAATCTTTTGCTCAAGAAGATGAAAGAGTAGGAGAATGAACCAATGTGCCACAGATTTGACTTCTTCTATTCACAATTTCACATGCCAATGTGCCATGTTTGCATTGTCTAATTGAGGAAAAGTTGACTTTCCTCTTTAGAGTGTTTAATTATTTAACACTTTGGAAAAGAAGAGCCAATGTTGACCTTAGAAAGTTACAGCAAAGCAAGAATCTTTAACTTGATAGGGCAGCATGTAGTTTCATTTCCTTGCAGATGAAGTCAAGGTTTAAATATTTATTCTTTTGAATTTGAATGAATAGTTGAAATAAGTATAAAAAACCCAGAGGATATGAAGAAAAATTATATCATCAAAACATAGTTGCAAATAAATTCGCTAAGGACACTTAACAGGAAAAATCTAGTACTGGCTGAGGTCCCAGCTGAATAGAACAAACTGGAGAGTCGTATGGGCTAATCACTAACAAAGATGAAGTAGAATGAATACATCAACTGTATCTCAATAAACAAAAGTCTTGAAGCACATGGGCTAATCAATTATGTGGATTATACATCTTATAGATATATTAAATATATGAAAGCTCGTTTACATTCAGTCTGCTGCAAAACTGGCAAGCTTCTATGTTGCAAAATGGCAGGAAAAAAAAAAATCTTAATGGTTCTTCACTTCTTCATCTAGTCTAGCTCAAGTGATCTATGGGATATGACATACTCAACGTCCATAAAGGGAACGTGACATACTTGACATCAATAAAATTCCCTGAAATGCATCTCAACTAATAATGTGATCAATCTCTTCCTCTGCCTGTCTCTTCCTCAACATAATCATCTTTATCAGAATGATCATCCAACTCCTCCTCCTCCTCCTCATCATCATCATCATCTTCTTCTTCTTCTTCTTCTTCCTCCTCCTCATTGAATTTAGCATATTGCTTAAGTGATGAGGCAAGTTCAACTACTTCCTCATCATTTTGGGTTGATATATTTGCATCATCATCATCTTGGGTAGATCCCCCCAGGTCTAGTTCACCAACCTTCTCATCTTGGGATTGGGATTTTGTTGAACTATGAGATTTTCCTTTGTTCATCTGTTATATCGACATTAGATGAGAACTTCAAAATTGAAATATTTGAAGCAGTTCAATGATAAATCACAGAGCAATATACAATTACAGCAGACTCCACCCCCAACCCTTCCTTCTCTCTCTATCTCTCTCTATCTCATGTAGTTCTATTTGTCAATAAACACAAAGCTTTCAGGCATTGGTTCAACCTATGGTCAAACATGTTCCCCAATTTCTTTGGCAATAACTCACCAAATACATCCCCATCTTCACTTGCAGGGGCTGCTCATACAGAATTATACACACTCATTTTCACATGTTATCAAATTTGTACACGAAGTTGCAAGCTGTCACTAGGTCTTAATGTTTCCAAGCCATGGGCGGAGATGTCATTTTTCTTGTGCCATTCAACCCTAGCATAAACTACCCAGTACAAGATAAAACAGCTATAAAACACATATTTATAAAAGCAAAGAAGTTTTAGTGTGCCTTACAGCTCGTAGTAGACTTCTCCTATCTCTCTCACGAGCATTTTTTATTGCCTGTATGCAAATAAGAATCTTTTAGAAACAAGTTGCAAGGTAATGCAGCAACCACAAGAAATAAGGTAAATAAAAAAGATCAAGCCAATGGTAGATTTGGCAAATCAAAAAGTAAACAAGCTTTTAAAAAAAAATCATGAGTAAACATGAACCTCTTCAAGGGCCTTCTTCTCGGCCTCTATTTCAGATAAATCTCTACAAGGCAATGAATACACACCCACAATAAGAAGATTTTTCACACAAATAAGCAATTGAGCAAGACAAATTAACAATTCAAAACACCACTGTTTTCAATATAAAACATGGGGAAAACTGAAACCTTCCAATGATACGATCAACTCGGCAGGAACACTTGGCACATACATTATGCTCCTTTGCACAAGCTGTACACCCATAGGAGCAAGTTCATTGATTACTAGGGAGTATTATTATTACAACATCCATTCATTAAAACCAAAAACACAATTCAAATTGAAAGGACTGTTAGATTCAAAAGCAATCAGAGTAGAAGCTAACCAGTACAGATATTGTGGTAAGCTTGACGAACGTTCCTTTTCGAACACTTCTGACTGTTAAAAATCCATTGTTTCCAGGAGATCAATTCATAAAAAATTTACTAATACGGAGTACAAATTAAGAACACACAACATATTTATACAAAGGAATGCATATGCAGAACATACACACAACACAGATGAAGAAAGGAAGGCGAAGAGGTGTAGATTACCATTTGGCAGGCTCAGCGAGAGGTTTGTACTTGCCGTACTTGCGCTTCCAGTCAATCTGCTCCTTACAGCGTAGACAAACCCCAGTTATCTCTGAGAGAGGCCTAAACCTCCCTCCCGGTTCAGTTTCGTTTATCTTCTTTCCGGCATTAGGCTTCCAGGCGAATCTGTTAGCGTGCTTCGGCGGCCCTTTCTTTCCACCTCCGCTGCTCATCTTCTTCTTCTTCTCCTTCTAAAACCTTCTTCACTTTCAATTCAAATTCGGCTAACTCTCTAACCGCCTCGCCGCCGCTCAGGCTTAGTATTCTTCCCGCCGAACTCTGAGCTCTTGATCACCGTAGCGCCGCCGCGGAGCTTTTTGCTTTGGATTGCCAGTTTGCCATAAGCGAGAGCGAACTCGTTTAGATAAGTATTTGGGCCATAGATGCGGCAAGCTTATTTGGACCTCAAAGATTGAATTTCCTCTGGCCCAAAAAACCCTTGATCCTTTTAAGCCCAAACATGCCCAGCCCAATCGTTATGCTGTGGAACCGTGTCCACCTTGCAAGATGAACACAGTTCCTATGTTCATAATTACTGAACTATATGTTCATAATTATAAAGTTATATATTCATAATTTTTGAACTTCATATTCATAATTATTGAAACAGAACTTTATGTTCATAATTATATAGCTATATATTCATAAATTTTGAACTTCATATTCACAATTATTGAATCTCTATATTCATAATTATAGAACTATATGTTCATAATTATGTTCCAACTCTATGTTCATAATAATAGAACTATATGTTCATAATTATAGACTATATATTCATAATTTTTGAACTATATATTAATAATTATGAACCGTATCCACTTTGCAAGGTGGACAAGGTTCCACGGCATAATTTGCCTGCCCAACCTAATCGTTATATTGTGAACTATTGACATATTAATTCATTTTTAATATATTAAAAATTCAATTTTAATTTAATGTATTAAATATTCATTTATAGTATATCACCTAAAAATAAATTTTCAATATATATTAAGTTTTTGTAGGCTTAATTCGTAGTTCTATAGATATTAAGATTTGTCATGTTAAACATTTATGGCATTTCCATCTATAGTTTTTCTTTGGGTTTTTGTGGGGTCCATTATGAGGTGACAGAAATAGAAAGAAATTTGAATATGTACTGCAAGCTATGAGCCCAAGCGCGTGCAAATAGTGCTAGAGAAAGCTTGAGAAGACGACTATGACTTTACAATTGTATTTTCTTTCTCAACCTACTAAAACACAAAAAATCATTTCCACTAAGACTCGAACTCATAACTTTCTAAATGAAAGTCCAACCCGCATACCATTAGACTACATAGTCTTGATTACAATTGTATTAGTAACACACTTCCGGCCAATTGACTTGTGAACCGAAAAGAAAAAAATATCTTTGGAACCATTATCATGAATATTGCTTACATATATAGGTGGCGTGTATGGAAGGTGATGGCCCCCTCGACATTGATTTTGCTTTCATTCTGAATTATTTTCCCTTGTCTTATAGCATGCAGGTTGGCAAAATTGTTCTGTCAGTCGCACGAACTAACACGCAGAAGAAAAATGTATTACGACATGACAAAAACCATCCATTTCATGAACAATGAAACCGATCAATTCATTAGAATTGTCAAGCCGCCTTGCTGGAATTAATATTATATATATTACATTCAAGTTGAATTATTATTGAACAATTACATCACCACCCAAGCTTTTCAATTCACCAATAATTCTCTTACGGCTATAGTTTAAGACCATATAGCTAGATCAAACCCTTTTGAGTAAGTGCAAGTTCGAGGAAGAGAATATGGGAGTGGCTGATCAGTTAAGGGTTTATTTCTTGTGATCCTTTGTCGATTAAAGACATATGACACTTTACACTCAAAACATACATTCAAATGACCAAAAAAAAAAAAATGCTTGGCTAATAATATATAAGCTAAATGTTGCAAATTAAAAATATATACATTAAGCTGAAAATACAAAATAACACACATATGTAGTTTATCAAAATTAGTTGATACATATAGCTGCTAAATGTTGTTCCAAGTATAGTAGAACAATGTATTCTGTATGTATTAACGACCCAATTGATTACTGAGCTCTGAAAAAATAGTGTGAGATTGTCCCCTCAAACTATCATCACTTGTAGAAGTAGCAGTGGCACTGCTTTTAGTCCTGAACAATTTTTCAGCGTTTTCGGATGTAGTAAACGCGCCACCATAATCCTCGTCTGACTTATTTGCCGCCTCGCCGTCGCCGCCCTTTGCAAGCAAAGGAAAGCCCGGCCTCTCCGGCGTGCGCGGCGGAGAGAGGCCGCCTCTCTTATCGGCCGCATCTTGGAGCTGCAACGCAAACTCAAGGCCCCACACCACATCGTTCATCGCCGGCCGATCGATCCCTTGATCCTTCAGGCAATTGCAGGCGATCTCCACGTACTGGATCAGACACTCCGACGCGATCTGGCCCTTCAAATTCGGGTCCACAATCTCGCTGACGTCCCCCGTTTCATAACTCCGGCGGCCCCACTCCGCCAGACTGACTTTATTTCTCGGCAGATTTGGAATCACGGCGGCCCTAGCGCACAACACTTCGAACAAGACAACTCCGAAGGAGTAAACATCGGACTTTTCCGTTACCTGACGCCGTCTGTAGTACTCCGGGTCAACGTACCCGAAGCTGCCCTTGACGGCGGTGCTGACGTGGCTTACGGCTTCACCTAGTGGGCCCACCTTGGACAGCCCGAAATCTGATAACTTAGCCACCCATTTCTCATCCAGTAAAATATTGGTGGACTTGACGTCCCGGTGAATGATCGGATGTCTCGCGCCGGCGTGGAGGTAATGAAGGCCTTTTGCGGCGCCGATGCAAATCTTGAGCCGCTGTTTCCACGGGAGCGGCGGCTTCCCGGCGGCCTTGTAGAGGTGATCGCGCAGCGTTCCGTGGGCCATGTAGTCGTAGACTAAGATCATTTCTCTGTCGGTGTCGCAGTATCCGATCAAGGACACGAGATGGAGGTGTCGGAGCTTGGATAGCATCTTGATTTCGGTTTGGAATTCGCGGAAACCTTGGCTGGATTCGGGGCTCAAACGTTTGATCGCGACGGAGGTTTTGTCGGCGCCGTCGATGTAGCCTAGGTAGACCTTCCCGAACCCGCCTCTTCCGATGACGAAATTGTCGTTGAAGTTACCGGTGGCCCGTTTGAGCTCGTCTAGGGAGAAATGTCTGCAGAGATCTAACGGCAGACGGGAGCCGTCGGATCCTCCCGTCTTTTGTGTGGTAATTGAGTCTCTGGCCATGGTGACCCACGATGACTTTGTGACACTTGGAGCTAGGTTCGGCATCCTCTTCCGCCGCCGGAAAATCAAGAAAATGATCAGAATTATTACTAGGAGTAACGCAGCAACTCCGCCAACCAATCCTCCAATAATTGCTACCAACCCTTTTCTACCCTTCTTCTCCGGCATTAATCCTGATTGAATGGCCGGAATTTCAGGAGGGTTGGGCACGGCCAGATTCCCCGTCGAGTCATTGAGTTTAAAAATTTCTAACCCATTCAAGATCGCACTAAAGTACACCGGTTTGTCTTTCATGTTGGGACGCAACACGAGAGAAACATTGTGTTTGCTCCGGCGACGATCTGGGTCAGGGACAAAAACCACGTAGTCTTTCATTATCGGAACTTCACGGCCGCCGCTCTGATCAATAACATCAACATCATCCTCTACCATCTGTTTATTTATCTCTATTGAGAAAACTCGTTGATACACAGTCGTGAATTCAGGCTCAAATTCGCAGAAATAAAACCTGAAAAGATAGAAAAACCCAGCATCAACAGGGAACAGCCAAAAAAGGCCATTTCTATTACTTTTGTCCATGACCCTTGCCGAAGTGTAAACTAGGTCAGGAGCGGTGTAAGCCGGAGTTTGATTAGTATAATAAACCGGTACGGGCAAGAACGGCGTTTGATACATTAGATCGACAACGTAGTAGTCGTCGACAGACCATTCACGAAACATGCCCGTGTCGTCTTTGGGCCCCAGATGCCTGCTCCCAACGTTCAGCCTGTATAGAGTTTCCATGGTTGTCGAGTTATCAAAATGGACAGCACTTATTATCGGATAATTATTATTGTCGCCTCTGAAGTATAAATCCGACGGCATGGACACAATTTCGATTCCGTTCACAAAGGCATAAGGAGAAGGTGAGAAAGTAAGGTTCAGTTGCTGTTTATCATCAACGTTAACGATGAATTCCTTTTTAATAAAAGGATCCGGCGAGAATACGAAAGGGTCCGGCGAGGATACCGTGAGGAAGGCGCTGAAGTTTTTGAGCAGGGTGTAGTTGTTGGCGGTGACGGTGAAGAAAAAATCGGTCTTGTTGAATCTTCTGCCGCCGCCGCCTGCGGCGGCGGAGTAATTGGCAGGGTAGAAGTAGAGGCGGAGGAACTTTTGGCCGGGGGAGACACGGAAGGAGTATGTGAGCTCGGAGGTGAAGACACGCGCGGTGGTGAACGGAACTTGGGAGGCCAAAGGGCCTTGCTCCGCAATGGCCGGAGAAGATAGCTCCGCCGTGTTCGTCGGCATGAATTGCAGGTAGTGGTTATCCGTATCCCAATCACGTCCATCTTGTGAGGTGCTCTTCGACGGCGCGCCGCAGCTCAGGAGGAAGAACTCGGTTGCTTTATAAAGTGGCGCCGCCGCCGCAGTGGTGTCGGCTAATCTGAGAGCCAAGAAGTGGAAGATAATGATGGGGAAGGAGAGACGGAGAGCAAAGGCTAGCATGGCGGCTATCAACGGTGAAGTGTTAATATGTGTACGGTAGCCGGCTGGCTGCAACCTTCTCTGGTAATTAGGCTTTAAAGAGAAGATAGAGTTGACTTGGAAGTCGTCGGATACACTGTGAATACCAGCTTTATGACATGAGAATTTTAGAGTACATGTAGTAGAACTCTTTTTATATTGTATGTTGAGTAAAAAGTTGTCTATATTAGATATTTAAAAGTTTGGAGTAAATTTGAGTATGGAAACTTTAAACCATCTTGGCTGGCCAGTGTATGTCTGTGCACTCTCATTCTTTAGGAGAGGTCGATATCGTTATAACGTGTATGAGGGTGTACATAATAATGTGGGCTCCGCGCCTCAAAAAACGATGTCGTTTTGATAAGTTCTGTATTTTCAGGTATACATTTTTGTACATTTTATTATATAATTCCGTACATTCGAAACATGAGAATTTTCAATTATAAAATCATGTATCTTCAGGTATAAAATTCTGTGTTTCCAAGTATAAAATTCTGTACATTCTATTATATAATTCTGTACATTCGAAACATGGGAATTTTCAGTTATAAAATTCTGTGTTTTCAGGTATAAAATTTTATGTTTTCAGGTATAAAATTATGTATATTCTATTATACAATTCTATACATCCGAACATGAATTTTTTTTTAAGGAGTTAACAATTGACATGTGAAAAGGTCCAAAACGACGTCGTTTTGGGCTGGTGCACAGTATAATTTGCCGAGAGGTTGGGAGTTCGAACTCCTCTCGTATGGAAAAACCAATATGGTCAGCACTTTACTCCTTAATTGGACCAGCCCGGAAGTCTGAGTATGGTACAAGTCGGCCCGGTACGAATCAACGGCTTAAATCAATGAATTTTCTTTTTTATTTTTTTAAAAAAGACACGATCTGAGACGTTGATCAAATCCAGATCAACGGCTCAAATTAATGATTTTTTTTTTAAAAAAAAAAACAAAAAAAAAAAAAAAAAAAACAAAAAAGACGCGCCCTCGGTTAAAGAAGCAAAATGTAAAAAATGGCGCATCTTATGTGTTACAAAGACGCACCTTAAGTTGTAGGACGACGCACGTTAAGTGTTAATATGGCACACCTTTAGTGTTAAACATGGCGCACCTAAAATTTTAGACCAAAGCACCTTAAGTTTCAACAAAAAACGCGCTTAAGTTTTCAACTAAAGAACTGACATACTTTAAGCACAAGGACACATCTTAAGCTATGGGAAGACGTACCTAAAGTTTTAGACCGACACCCCTTAAGTTTTAACAAAAAAACGCACCTTAAGTTCTCAACTGAAAAATTGACGCACCTTAAGAAGGAAAATCATGCACCTTAAGTTTGACCTAAACGCAAAAAAAAATCAAATTGTCACCGCATTTTGTTTTTAATCTGTGTTCAATCTAGACGATCATTTTTAGCGAGATCAATGCTATCATCCAACCACATCTTTCAGCTGGGCACAATATCCGCATGTGATATATATATATATATATATATATATATATATATATATATATATATATATATATATATATATATATATATATATAGGCGAGTTCAGGTGCGGCGGTGTCTTACGGTGCGACGATCTCTTACGGTGCGGCATCACCAATAGTTCAACAAATATGCATCATCAACGTTAGGAAAATATACCACAAAAAACAGAGTAAACAGAGCCCCGCATCACCAAACACACACCATTAGGTGTGAGTAAAAACACCATACACTATTCGGAAATACACCATTGGAGGTGGTGAGTTATATGGTGTATTTTTTTTTAGTCTGTTGTGTATTTTGTGATGTTTTATTGCATTTCATTGTGGTGTGTTTTTCTTACACTGTTGGTGCATATTGTTAACACTGTTGGTGTATTCTGAAATTCCGCCGCACCGCCGCACGGAAAGACCCCACCGCATATGAACTTTATTATTATTATTATTATTATTATTATTATATATATATATATATATATATATATATATATATATATATATATATATATATATAAGTAACCCTTCGCATATAAATATATAATCACCCATTTAAAATAATAAATGAGATATTATCACACTACATAATAATTGCTAGTAACAACTTATTTATTTCAACTTGATTTTTTTATTTTGTTTTTTGTAATAATTAAGTATTATGATTTATATTATAAAAACAAATAAATATCATAAATTTGACTCATCTCACAGACTAAGATCATTGTGAGACGGTCTCACACAAATGTAATTCTCTCTATATATATGATGACAGCATAGTCTTCTCGTAAAAAAGTAACGAATAATCTCAATTGTATATTACGTTCATATGATGGTTGTAATAAAAAGAACACAATGTCAATTTTATAATTATTAAACACTTAAAAAGTTTTCAATATTAATAAAAAGAATCACATCTTTTTCACGAACTCCATATCATCAACAATCAACAATCATTCTAAAAGCTAGATCATCAATTGTGTTTTTTCTAGTATAATTGGGTAAATTCTTCGGGATAATAATATTTCATAATTATTTTAGCAAACAAATGAATTGAAATCCTCGTTAGAGCAACATTTTGAAAAATAATGATTTTAAATCCAAAAATTGATCTAAAAAATGTACTATAGAACATAAAATCTAGTTATTTGACTAAACAATTGAAGTTGATCATCAATAAACTAAAAGCTATTCCCAAATGGCATTTTCCAAACAAAGCCATTGTATTATGGTAGAAAGTGGAAACCATCGTTTGTGTTTCTCGTAGAAGCATATATGTCTCCTCGTACGACTCCACCGTGGTTCTTTTTTATTTTTATTTTTTTTACAATTATGGTTTTAAAAGAAAAATAAAAAATCGGCCCAATAAGTCATCAAAATTACTTTCAATCACCAATAATTGTTGTCGTTCTAACTGGGCAAATTATTGCACGGACCATGGTCTACACAATTGTGTAGATCATGAATATCATGTACATTTTTAATATACTAAGAATATATTATTTTTGTATTGAAGTTATATTATATAAAATAATGTACCCTTAGTATATTAAAAATGTACTTTTTATTTATGATCCACACAATTGTGTGAACCATGATCCATGCAATAATGATTGAACTAAAGTTTCACAAATTTAAAAAAAAAAAAATCGAAACGGGAGTTTATATTAACAAATCTTCGTTTTTCGATCACTTTCCAATTTCCGGCAACACATTAAATAAGGGGATAATTCAAAGGACAGGTAGAAAAACATCATAATAATAATAATTATTACATTATTACAATAATACAAATTATTGACTATGATCAAAAGTCTTGTAACTAATTCAGTAACAAAGCTGTGTGCCCGGAGTTCAACTTCCGACCATATGATCAGATCTACCGGCAGCGATCGTAAGCATGACAGCCTCGACTCTGTGGATTGGCTGGCACGTAACAGTGACCTGCATATATCTTAGTATGACAAACCGGAGGTGGTTTTTGAACTTTATCGGTCAAGTGAGGCAACTGTCGTACACTATCCATGAATTGTCCGCCGGCGCCGGCGGGGGCTTCATCTTCATCTTCTACGCGGCGATTCGCCACCGACACGCAATCTCCGGCCTTCGTGCCGTTGCTGCACGAGGACGCCGCCGTTGTGGCCTCGACGGAAGAAGCTGCGCCGCCGTGTAGAAGAAGCAGCGATATCAGAAACAGTAGAAGAGAAGGCATGAAGGAGCAGCTTCTCTGACTTCCAGTCATCGTCTTCTGGAATGAATGATCAGACAGGAACCTGGGATAGTACTCATATTATACAGAGTATATTAAAGGTTTACAGCTGGCTGACTTTGTCTTCTTCTACTTTTAGTTCCCAGGCTCCTTTCAAGAAATGAAGGAAGGGTGGTCTCCGGGCCGAGCTCAAGTGGTGGTCTTATATTTATTGACTAGATAAGGGTTCAAATTTTACTAAAATTATAAGAGTTATTGAGAAACTTTGATCAATTAATTATAGTGAAAATTTCACCTAAAACTCGAGCCGAATAGAGACCAGACCTCGATCTTGTGCACATGCAGTGTGGGAACTTGAAATCCCCGCCTTAGCTTTAAATTTGTACTTAAGGAGCATTGGGGTTCAGAATATAGTTAGGCAAAGTCGAAAAATCTGGGTTATAAAAAAAAGGAAAGAAAGAAGGATGGTGCCTGGTATTATCCAATTAAAAAGACTAAGTTGGGTAGATACTTGTATTAAATTTGCAATTTGTGGGAGAATTATTGAAGGTGTGATGGCCCATTTTGATGGAACTGATGAACAAACATTGAAGGAAGCAGACAAGGCTGTGAAAGAGATCGAAATTATATTGAAGAAAAATCTGCATGTGCTGCAGTTGTGCACCTTGTTTTTTCCACTCACGTCTAAGTCCATCATAAATACTCATCTCAAATATCCCCAACCATACTCCAATAGTGCAAATTAAAGGCCATATGTGAGATAAGTCTCACTATAGGTGTCAATGCGGGCCAGTCCGTCTCACAACGGATTTTTTTGGCAGGTTTTTGCGAGCTGGTCGTGAAACCCGCGGGCTGCATAATACATAGTCCAAGTTTGTCCCATGCTAAACCTGTGAGGGCCGCATAATATTTTACACTATATTATGAAGCAAATTATATTGTGCACCAGAGTGCACAATGTATTATGCATCCTAAGAGTTTATGTATATTATGTTAACAATTGATATTATGGTTTGGATTCCATGAAGCCATCCCTTAGCTTGCTAGGTCCATAAGTATACTTGCGTGTTTGCATTTTAGCACCACCAATTTAAAGAATAACACAAGTGGGGTTTGAAAGTGAAGAGAAATTAAGTGTGGCATGTGCCCAGTCCTGTCTTGGCTCTATCAAGTGAAAACAGAACTGCAACAAAAATATCTAAAGAACAATATATACCTGATCATCAGTATTGAACCATTAAACCCGGCCTTCCTTGACTGTCATTGATGGCCTGATGGGGTACGGACCCAATGGGCTAGAGGCCCAAGAAAGAGTGGACCAAAGAATGGACTTGCTGCAATGGGCCCAAAAGGATAAAAATATCTACATTGTGGGCCTTGAGCAGACTATGTATAGAGCTCGAACGAGT